GAGAGAGAAGGAGAGAGACAGAGAGAGACAGGGAGAGAGCCCGAGCCCGGAGGTGAAGCTGAAGAAAACAAACACACACTGATGGGAAACGACTTTAATGAGAAACTGTGACGATTCGACTTCACGAGAGGAAAAAGTGACAAACTGCAGTAAAACCAGATTCTGGTTGAACAAACGAAGCTTTAATGCAAACAGCTGATCAGAGCCGGGGTCACTCAGCGTCCATGGTGTGGACACACTGATCCACCACATCCAGGGACAGAGGGGTCACACTGTGGGTCAGGACGGCCGTGGTGCCGGGGTCGAACCTGTACTGTCCCTCTCTGGAAGAGACACAGAGGAGGAACACGCTTTGTACATGGACTGTAAATGTCAGTGTCACCTTTAAGAGGTTTTACAACTAAACTCAGTTCAATATTAAAGAGAGAGGAACCAGAGGAGACGGGCTGCAGCACCCCCTACTGGCTATATAACACAATGATTCATGTGTTATTTCAGGGCGACATAGTGCGTGGTACCCTCGTGTCAAATGTTTTAGAATGATTGTTGCTTATTCCAATGAACACAGAAATCACTACAGTCTCTGTCAGCAGCTCTGACTGAAGGACGCTCACCTCTGGCCTCTGACCGCCGGCTTGTCGTAGCCTCGCAGGTGCTCCACTCCGGCCTCGGTAATCACACACAAGTCCACGTTGCTGCCTGAGCCCAGGTCACAGAGAATCCCGGCAGTGATGGCGTCTCGAACGAGCTGCTTGGCCTCCTCCAGCTGAAACACAGAGAGACACAGACAGGTGGTTCTATGGTACTGACTGAACCGCAGGTCGACCTTTGACCCCTCAGTCCCTTCCTGTATTGACTCACAGCACATGACCCAGTCAATAATACACAACGCCAAATGTTTGTGATGGAGGCATCACAACCTTAATACATGAGAATAAACAGACTCTATATTCTATGATTTATATATAACACAACTGAGTTTATCACTGAAAACACTTCAGCTCTTTGGTTCTTCAGTGGTCGTTTATTCTGAGCAGATGATTCACATTTTGTTTTGTGTTCTTGATTTGTGTGTTGTCTTTGTATTATTGTTGAATATACACAGTTACACAACAGACTTTTATTTGCAACATAACTTTAGGATGAACTCTATTAATTCACATCACATCTGATTATTGGATTCATCGTCTCACCTCCATCTTTGGTTTGAATCTGTCCTCAAATACAGAGACGGCAGCTGCAGCTCCAGAACCTGAAACCACAGTCAAACATCAGACAGCTTTTGGTCCGGGCCCTCAGTGAACCTGGATTACTTTGGTCATAAGAAACACAAGTGAAACCTTGAGTAGACAGAGCACACGTACCCATGGTGACGAAAGGCAGCTTGTCATAGGAGCCGTGAGGGTAAACACTGTACAGGTTCGCTCCCGTCACATCCACTCCTCCAACAATCAGAGATGAACCAATGTGGCCCTGGTACCTGAACCCAGACGCAAATCATGCAGCATTTAAAAACCATCCAGTTCTTCTCTGACCCATCAAACATCCTTCACACAGTTGACTGGAGAAAACCCAGAGAATCAAACCTGAACAGCATCTGTTTCAGCTGCCGGGTTACCATGGCGACGAGGGGAGGTCGCCCGGTGTTGAGCATGTGCAGCTCCACGTTGGACGCTATGATCTGTGTGGTGACGACGGCGTCTGCAGCCACGCCAGCTCCACAGCAACTACACAGAACACACAAGACACAGTTCAGCTGTGTGAACGTGACGTTCTTCTCACGCTACTCGAACAAACCACTGATCTTTCCACAGCACAATTTATACGTCATGTCCCGCCTCCTGCTGCTCTACAGGCCCCACCCCTCGCCTGAATGTTCGATCTGCTGCTGCGTTCAGGAGATTCTCCAGAGTTCTTGTCTGAAAACATCTTCTGCTTCGAAGCTGATGAACTAACTGCTCTCACTCACTAGATCTTTGGAGCGATGTAGTGAATCTTCATGCAGTTTTTTTCAACCACCACCATGTCGTCTGTGGCCCTGGTGTCAGCTCCCAGGATCACTCCGTCCTGAGGGACAAGGACAGAAAATACTCAGCACGCCTGGACCACGTCCACTGTTCAGTACCTGACTCTAATTAAAGGGCACCAGGCCGCTCTGCACGTCTCTGAGTGAGATGCTCACCTTGTAAACCATCCCAGCGATGGTAGTCCCTGTTTTTCTGGCATTGGGAGCTTTGAAGCCGAGTTCAGACAAGTTGGACTCCAACACTGCGTTTCTGGAAATGAGGATATCATTAACATCCTGGAACTGTTGTGTTCACTGCCCACGAGTGGATGTACACAACAGTGGGTTATCACAGTATGAGCACAAAACAGTGAGTGATTGAGCCCTGAGCTGAGGGGCCCCCAGAACAGCTGAATACATTATTCCACAGCAACGACAAATGTGTAGAACCCCAAACGTCCCTGATAATGATATCAGGGACCAGCCCATGCACTGTCTTGTCCAATCCTGAGCCAGTGTCAGCTGTCAATCATGTCGTCTCAGCCTGTTTATACATCATCAAATAACTGATTCAAACCAAACTGATCAGAAACTTGAACATCAGTGAGAGAAGAACGAGCTGAACGAGGAAATATCTCCTCGGGTAGTTTCTATAGAAGATGTGTTTACTGGTAGTTTCTATAGAAGATGTGTTTACTGGTAGTTTCTATAGAAGATGTGTTTACTGGTAGTTTCTATAGAAGACGTGTTTACTGGTAGTTTCTATAG